AGAAACTCTATGATTAAAGTATACATAGTGACACAAGCAAACTTTAGAATCCTACTTTTAATAAACCTACAAGAAGACTTGCAAGAAAAGCAGATATATATGATTAAACTGTGATTACAGAACAAATGGATTACATGTTTCTCAAATAGAAGAAAAAGAAAAGAATAATACAATAAATAAAATGAACACAGTTGCATATGACCAAAGATCAACACAAAGATCAATGAAACAGGGTTACAATTTAAGAATCAAATGAACTACTAAGTGTAGAGAGTTTAGTATTAATTCCTCTTTGGCAGGAATTAATCGATTCCTGTCTGACAGTGCAGCATGTTAACATTTACAGAGGTATTCTTTGAGGTATTAATTGGTGGGCCATCTTTAGCCTTTGTTTTAGGCTAGATGTCTCTCTTTGTGGGGGAAAGTGAGATGTGTGTGTGTGCATGAAGTTCCACTAAGTTGCACTTAAACAGTTAATCTAAAGAAAAAGAAAGTCTTCAGACCTCTGGGTCAAAGTGGGTCTGTTATGAGGCCACGCCCCTTCCCCACTTCTGCATCAGGTTGCCAAAAGGGGGACAGCAGATGGGGGTTGAGACATGTGTCTTAAGTACTCAGCCATAAATTTACTATTGGTCCTTCCATCCTGTGGCCTGCAGATCAGTTTATGAATTAAACAGCAAAGCACGCTACACATTGCATTCTATTTTTTTTACATTCTTCACAGCGCCCCAACTTTTTTGGAAATGGGGTTGTACTTGTGTAGTCAATTGGTCAGTCTTGAAAAGAATGATCATGTGTGCTGCTGTTTGGTTGGAATGAAACCCTGCAGCCACACTGGCCCTTTGAATTGGACACCCCTGAGTGACTCTCTTTGAAATAAAACATGCGGTTAACTAGTGCAGAAATTAACTTCTTGTTAACATTACTGTTTTTTCTCTGTTTCAACTTGCCAGATGTCAGGAAAAATAAATATAGTGATAAAATATCATAAAATTTGATGAAATGTATATTTGTCATATTGTCTATCCCTACAATAGTGTGCAATTTAGTGGGTATAGTGTGAAATTGTAAAATTGAACAAAAGAAGGGATCCCAAAAAGGATCTTGGCATGGAACATTGGTTAGCATCATTGTACTAATAGAAATTTATCAAAACATGACAGGTGGATGCAATCAGAAAACTTTACAGCATTTAGAGCACTGGCTATATGATTCAAGATTGGATAAATGTGAAGTTTGCTCTTTGCGGTCACAAACAAACAAAAATTGAGCACAAAATGCCAGATCATGCATATCACGCTATTTGTAAGTGGGTTACTGGTAAGTCTAATGTAGTGCTCTTGTCGATTTTCTTTGGTGCGAGTTGATCTAGAAGAGTGTTGGGAGGGGGTGATGTTTGTTTGGCTGTAGCCAATACAACTTTGATGATGAATTGTCTGAGGAACCTCTACTGCCTGGCAGTGTATGTCAAAAATATATATATATATTTTTTTTTAATTTCTTTTTAAAGTGGTATTCTATGCTCATTTCTCTCTCTGTCTTTGTCTCTCTTTCTCATTTCCAGCAGGAGTCTGATGAGATAGACCTAGGGATGCTCCAGTGGCTCTACTTACCATTGTTGGTAAAAACTTCAAAGATCCTGTTCACTACCACCCAGTGAAAATTTCCATTGTCCTGGAAAGTGATGTGGTAACCTGCTTTTGCAGGCTTGCAGATGCTTTTCTGGTAATGTTCGGTCTGACCTATGCTCTTCATCTCAGTTATCACAAAAGACTGACCGGCACTTTTGAATTTGTCCAGAAATTTTACCTGGACTGGAGGATGGGAAAATGTCACCCAGGCTATAGACCCTTAATAATGATCTGATGATCTAGGCAGTTAGAACTTGTAAAGTACAGGAACAACTTTTTCCTCTCCTTGTTGCAACATCATTAATGATGTCTCATGCTCAGAGGTTTTTGTGTTTGTTTTATTTTAGCTTGGTTAAGTAATTTGGTCCGGTTTTGCGGTAGGCACTTTTGTAAGACTTGCTGTTTGTCAATATTGGTGAATGTTAGCCTTTTTTGTTTTTACTTTTTTACTTTATAATGTAGTCGCCCATGGGTCAGGTTATTGAGAAGCTCTATGTGGACACAAAAATTATGTAATTTTGAATTCACAGAAGCTTTGTTTCATTCAGATAACTAAGCTAACTGTGTCCTGAACACACTTTGTGTACATTGATTTCATTGGTTGATTGTTCATCATCTCATGCACTTATGCAATGCTGTGTAAAATTTGTGTTTGGTAAACATCTAAAATTTGGCTGTGAAAACCTGCTCTTTAATTCATAAATAAATTTCAATTTGAACCTATTTTTAGTGTATGTCAATGTTTTGAGTCAGTAGAATTTAATTAATTTAACAAAAATGTTAAATTGTCACTCATGTAATTTTGAGTATTCTAAGTCTTTTTCAGTAGCACTTTACAGATCGGTAATAAGTGGATAATGTCATGGTAGTATCTTGGTAATGGGTTGTATTTATCCATAAATTAAATGTCAATTTTGTAGTTGTTATGAAATAATAAAATGGTAATTGTAGCGGTAACAAGTCAGTAATAAAATGGTAAAATCATGGTAACAAGTTGTATTTATCAAAAAATTACATGCACATTTGTTAGTCATTAAAAATTAAGAAGTTAGTCATTGTAGCAGTGGTCAGTAATAAAATAGTAAAATAAAGGTAATAAGTTGAACTTCATGCAAATTTTCTAGTTCTTGTAAATAATAAGTCCGTAACTGTACTGATGACTAGTTGATAATAAAGTGGAAAAATAATGGTAACAAACTTTAATTGCCCATCAAACAAAAGAGCAATAATATTAGGGTTATTAGTCCAAAAACAAAGCATTAGTTTTGCTGAAATGATGTGGTTTTAGTGCTGTAAAATACTAATTCACTTGTTTCTACTTTGTTTCTTACCTGTTATGTCTTTAAGTGGTCAGGGGCAGTATGATGTTACACGCTGTAATTACAGTGAAACTAAAGGGTTTTGGAGCTGTAAATGCAAACATGCTTCTTTCAATCTTTTTTCCCCACTTACTACATCTCACATCATGTAATAACATCAGCTCTGCAAAATAGTCTGGGTAACCGCACTGAAACAATGACTAAATTACTGCATTATAATCTCTCATGGTTGTTCTACTACTTTACAAGTGTACTTACACAGGAATAGATGAGGTAAATGAACTGAGATTACACAGAATCAGGGCTGGAAAATGCAACATCACATGTTCCATTTGTGCTACCTTGAAGTGAATTAGTGAATTAGTATTTTACAGCACTAAAACCACATAATTTCAGCAAAACTACTGCTTTGTTTTTGGACTAATAACTTATTGCCCTTTTGACTGACTGGCAATTTTTTGTTACCATTATTTTTCCACTACATTATCAACTTGTCATCACGACAGTTACTGACTTATTTGCTAAGAACTATAAAATTTGCATGAATTTACCTTGACTGACCACCACTACGATGACTTCACCATTTTAATACTGACTTGTTAGCGCTACAATTACCATTTTATTATTTCATAACAACTACAAAATTAACATTTAATTTATGGATAAATACGACTCATTACCAAGACACTACCATAACATTACCCACTTATTACTGATCTGTAAAGTGCTACCTCTTTTTCTTTGAGTTGTAATTACTTTAAATATTTAATCACACTGAATTTATGGTTAAGTTAGAAGAACTTGTACAAAATAAGTTTATCAACATCAAATATTCAGTTAAAATACTTAAAACTGTTTACTTATTAGTACTTAATTGTATTGTGTAATAGAAATACATATTTTTAGTAGTACACACTTGAAATAAATGTGTATGTAACTCAAGAACTCCAAGTTGTGCATACCCCTGACATTTGAGTTTATAAACTTAAAAATATTAAGGCAACTGATTGCCTTTTTTTTAGTATAATGATTTAAAATAATCAGGGTGATATGGTGATTGAGCAGAAATAAAAAAAAAATATCTGCAATTGTTCAGCATTACTCACTTTTACTGCAATGCCTATTAATTACTTTGTATCAAATGGAAAATTAACATTATCTATGGGTAATTTCTGTTACTAATAATTTTCTATTTTATTACCAACCAGTTACCACTACAAATACTAACCCATTATTTATTAACGATCAGGAAATTGGTATAGTACTTTAGTATAACTTGATACCATTACTTTACCATGTTAACAACTTGTTACCACTATAATTATAAACTTATCATTTAATAACAACTAGAAAATAAGTGTGTAATTTTTAGGTTAGCACAACATGTTACTATTAAGATGTTTTTAACAATGTGTTACTGCTATAACTAGTTACTGTAATATTACCATATTATTACCCACTTACTACTAATCTGTAAAGTGCTGCCAACATTTGTATTCTGATCACAGCATGCATTCAACAGTTACAAAGAAAGTTACACAATTAGTGTACTCTAGTCCTTAGTTTAATATGTTTCACATGCTTACATTAATTCAGAGTGTTACAGATTATGTAGTTATAATATAATCAATAAAAACAAGTGTCTCAAAATTGTAACCTTGCAAGACAAGGCAAAAATGCTCTTAATTTTCAGTGTAAAGTTAATGTTAAGAGGTTTTGTTTCAAATGATTTTGGAGCGCTTCTTTTGGTCCATTCATCATGATATTTTCACACAATGCAGTGCTGTGTTCACATGATGTAGAGAAATAAAAATCTCCAAAAATACATGTAAATTTTTTCGGACAGAGAAGATATGCATGAATAAATGATGTTTCAGTGTAACAAAAAAAATCAAAACTGCAAAAAATATGTTTTTTGTCCTGTTGTTGAATTATTTTTAATTCTTCTATATTTTCCTCCTCAGTATGGTAAGTTAGTGAGGCAGCAAATTTGTTGTATCATCATTTATGTAGAAACACTTCCTGTAAGTAACAGAATTGTCAAATCTATTCATTTAATTCCTAAGCTTGCAACTGCATCAGACTGTTTCAATTTTCTCCATTCAGCAGGAATCTCCTCCCATCCACTGAAGGTTTTCTTGTGGTGATTTTCAAGGTTGTCCTTGAATTCCCAAACAAACCATTTCCAATATGCCAGGTCAGAAAAATCAGAAGAGATCAGCCATTTAGCATATTCTCCTCCTGCTGTCCTGTACTGCCTGTAAGGGAAGGACTTCTCTGAACCTCCAGGACAAAAACGCAGGTCACTTGCTACTTTTGTTGTGCAGAAGTTTATAGAAAATTCTGTTGTATCTTTAAAAAACATACCACTCATTCCAGATGAGCGATGGAAATCAGCATTGTGATCTCCAGTGTGGTTTTCTTGGCTGTTGGTACAGACAGCTCCACAGAAGGGGCACTGCACCCAGCAGCACCTGCAGAAGTGTTTGATCAGAATCTCATCAGGTTTTTCTCTGAACATCTCCAGTTTCAAGTCTGAAAGCTTACTGATGCTTCCTTTTAGCTCTTTAATGCCATCAGAGAGCTCTGTCTTCATAAAATTCACCAGAACATCAAAGTCAGTGATCTCCTCAGAGACATCATCTCTCAAGTGAACTCTAGTGTCTCCTAACTCATCTACAAGGCTGCTGAAAAATAAATCCAGCCACATTTTTACATCTCCACTGACAGCTTTGACCTTATCTCTGGCCATTTTGGCCGCACTACTGACACTTTTATGTTTGTGTTCAATGTGTTCTTTGATTGCAGAAACTGCTTGAGGATTTTCTGCTTCCATGTACTTTCTAACTTTGTCTCTAATGAAATTTTCAAAGTGCGACTTTGGATCGTTCATGTATGTTAAGAAGTTTTTAAACTTCTCATCCTTCTTTCCTTTCTGTTCTGCCAGTGACTTCAGGATGTGTTTTTCCAGATCACTTCTGTTCCCATTAAATGGCGGCTTCCCTCTCATTTGTCTACAAATGAAGGTAGTGATCATGTTGTACACACTCTGCAGGATTGTTTCTCTCAGTTTACTACAGATTTGGTCCACAAGCACAGCTGCTGATGTTGCTCCCTGGCAGTATTTCTGAAAGATTTTAAAGTAGTCAGCTTTTTTCTCTTCAAAGTAAAGAAGTGGATCATTTGATTCCTTGTGTTTGTGAAGTTCTGCAAAGCGAACTTCTGCCTGTTCACACACATAAAGGGAGAGATCTATTAAGAACTCTTTCTTAAACTTAAAGGAATCTTTTGAATTAAAATTTTGCACAAGTTCTCTGACATTACGTGCAATGTCTTGGATGTAGGTTTTACTATATCCCTGCACTGAGACAGTAAATGAATTCACTTTTTCTGTTGTTTGTTCAATGACCTCAGAAATCAGCTCTCGTATTGATCTTTGATCCTCTGAATTAAGACACTTTTCCTTGCAAGTGAACATGCTCTTTTTCATAGAGACATAATCTTTGAAATTGCAAGTGTTGTAAATTTTTCGGTATTCATGAGATGCCTTTTGATGAACAACAAGGCCATATTCATAGAACTCTCCCAGAATGTCAGTCACATCCTTTGATATGTTAGCATCTTTTGGAGCGTGTTCAGCCAACTGACAGACCCACTCTCCCCACACTGAATCAAATTCTGCCTTTGAATCTCTATTTTTATTGCCATTTTCTTTAAGCTTCAATGCAAACTCTTTGATCATTTCAAAGAGTGTCTTCTCATAGTTTATCAGTTGCGGGTCCAGCTTTTTGTGAAAAGTTTTCTGTTGAATGTTGTCATCCAGTTTTCTTTTTGTCTCATTTACAAGGTCATCATGGAGGTTTTGTATTTGTTTCTCAAATCTGCATTTCCACTGAATCAGTGTTTCCTTTTCACTGTTTTCTTCAAAATAGACTTTAGATGCTTTTTGGATAGTTTGCAAGGTCACTTTTGTTTCTCTCATAAGCTCTTGTCTGTCAAGTGTTTCCATTTTTCCACATTCTACTCTGTTAAGCATTTTGTCTTTAATGCTCAGCATGGCACTCCTGAGACTCCAGGTCCATTTCTCATACTCCTCCTCCAGTTTCCTGTACACTGATATCTCGTGTGCATTCTTGAAACTAAAAACAAAATTTTCATTCAGCAGTGCATTCCACAGGTCGTTCACGCGCATCTGAAACTGCGATAATTTCATGCCATTTGTCTGTGATGCACGAGAAAGAATGTGTCTTTTTAGCTCTTGAACATTTTCACTGTAGCATGGGTTTGGTGGAGCCATGGGTGGGTTGCCCTCCCAGAGCTGCGAAAAGTACTTCACATCATTCTGTACATCAAATGCAATGACATCACTGAAACATTCTGCATCATAGGCTTCTTCTTCAGCAGCTAACTTAGTCATTTCATCCAGTTTATCTTGTAAACGTCTCCTTCCCTCCTTGATTTTCTCTGCAGCCACAATACCAGTGACATTCTGGTGCACAAACATACAGCTGGGATTCAGCCTGACCTTCTTCATCCTCATGAAGACCCGAACAACAATCTGAAGGATGTCCTGCATCTCTGATGGATTTTCTCCAAAAATGTTAATCAAAGTCATGTTTCCAAGACCTACAACAAATGTTGCCAGTTCATTATCATGATGTATGGTGTTCTTTCCAGCCAGCTCAAAAGCCCGAAGGCCTTCAGTGTCAATAACCAGAATGTAGTCAAATTTCACTTCTTTCTTCATCTCCTCAGACACTTTGACCAGCTGCATGAAGGCTCCTTTGGTGCATCTTCCAGCACTGACTGCAAACTGGAGTCCAAACATAGCATTGAGCATAGTGGATTTCCCAGAGCTCTGAATCCCCAAAACTGACAACACAAAAACTCTCTGATCTCCCAGTTTCTTGATAAGCTCATCTAGAACTGCTGATAACCAGACCAGAGGAACATGAGCTGCGTCACCATCGATCAGCTCCATTGGGTGCCCAGATATCATGAGCTCAGCAACAAGTCTAGGCAGGTAAGAAAGGTTTTTAATCTTGTTCTTCTCCATTCCACAGACTGAGGCTTCATAAATCTGGCACATCTCTCTCAACATATGCTGTAAACCAAAGGTTGCAGCATTAAGCTTGTTTGAGATGTTTTCTAAGTTTGATTGTTCAACATTCAGCTCATCTGTTTTTATCTGTTTTAAATCAAAATTCTTTGAGGGTCCTTTTTCATGTGCTTTTTTCAAAGCTAACACTTCCTTCCATTTTTGGTCATATTCTTGATTGATGGCAGAGAGAGTGTCAGAAGTGAAGTCATCTAGTTGAATTGCAATCCACTTGAGAAAATACATTTTGTTAATGTTTGGGAGAGACTCCAAACTCTGAACAAATAACCGCATGAGTTCACTGGAGCCATGTGCCTGTTTTTTTCTTATGTCCCTCATTTCTTTTTGCTTTGTGCTTTTCTCTTTTTCTACGTTGTCACTTTGAAGCCGTCTTAGGTCTTTGTTTTTTTGACACCAGTCGTGCCACAGTTTTCCCTGGCAGGGAAGATATCTTTCTTTGACTGTGGAAGGATTTTCACTCTCCAGGAACCTCATTATTAATTGTGCAGCTTCTTTTCCTCTCTGACAGGCTTTATTGAGCTCATCCAACTGGATGTTTTTGTATTTTGCAATATGTTCAAGCCTAAAAGTTTGAGGCTTTTGGAAAAGGCAATCCTTTATGACACGTCTGAGTGCAATAGAAACATCAGAATTATTTCTGTTCTTCAGTGCCACTCTGTATTTTCTGTCTCCTATCTCAGACACAACATCTTTAGTTTCATCCTCTTCATCAGTAAGAACAACAATGAGAGGTGTTGAATTCTTAGAAAGATCCTGTACAATTGCCGTATTCTCAAGCATGGGTAAAAGCACAACATTTACTGAGGCCACTTCAGTGAGAATCTTTCTTTGAGTCACATTTGTGCTGGAATCACCATGTAGATTACAGAATGCAACACAGTCAGTGAAATGATCAGTGCTTTTCCCAGATGGACAGTACCAGGCGATCTCCACCACTCCATCCATCAGTAGACGATCTCTGCTGCTGCCCGGACAGTTCCTGTGGAAGAATGTGTTGTGCTTCTCATTGATCAGCCTGTTCATCAGTTGAGACTTAGATGAGATAATGGAGCCAATCCTGAAGAATGCCACCATTGGAGTTGTAGCTTTCCACACAGGCAGAGTTTTGCTGATGACTTTGTCTGAAATATCAGTGGTCTTCCAGCTCTTACTGATTTGGCGCATAGTCCACAAAGGGAATTCAATGTTTCTGGAGAAGGGACTGGGCACCAACAAAGGGACTGCATACTGACATTGTGACAGTTTAGTTACCATGGTCTGTTGAAGAAAATGATCTGCACAAAAAAACAATGCCATCTGAATGTCCATTGGGTGAATATGGCTCTGCTTTTTTCCTCTACACACGATATTTTTTCCATTGATGTGTCTTGCTCTGTAATCCGTTGTCAAAAGCCGTTGCATGAAAGTGTGAACCAAATCTGTCTCTTTTCTGGGCTCCTCATTATGTAATGAGGACGGGGATATTACAAGAAAGCTTTTTTCCGTAAGTTTATCATCAAGGCCAAGTCTGCTCAAGAGATCTTTTTGTCTGGATCTGGATTCTCTTTCCTGAAAAGTAAGACAAAGTAAGGCAAATTATTAACTACCATTAAAAACATAATAAAATCCAATACATATTCTCTATATATTCCTTTGGGCCTTATTCCCCAGGGTATTTTTTGGTTTTTCCACCTGAATTTACGTGACCAAATCGTAAGGCAAATTATTCAGTAACTGCATGAAATAAATGTAAATGTTTATTTTTTTATTTATTTTGTAAAAGCTCCCGTCAAATTAACAGAACGTGTTTTACGATCATACACATATCGCTGTGCTTACAATTTACTGCTGAGAGCAACAAATCTTAGACGCTCTTATTGTATTATTTTATAAAAATCATTTTTATAGAGCAGATCACTGAAGAGACACCATCTGTGTATAGTTTATAGCCCACATTTGTGGAAAAATAAAATTCTCATATTATATAAAAATAATATAAATTATATTAAAAAAAAAATAGCACCTCTTTTCTGTTTTGTACACTTTATAGGTGTATTCCTCACTTGCAGTGATGCACAGCTTTGAGATACAGGCAGAAGTGTAAGTAACGAATTATATTTACCCTGATTACAGTATATCTTTCCCTGTAACAGTACTTTTACTTTTTGGAGTAAAATTAAATCATAGTATTTTTACTCTTACTTGAGTTCATTTTTAATGAAATACTTTTGCTTCCCTACTTTAATTTTCATAACATTACAGAGTAAAATAAATGATGAGCGTATCAGCTCAGAAACCAATATGAATGAAGTGTGGTTAAATTTAAAAGATTCACCAATCAAAAAACAGCAGCTCCAGCAGGAAAAGCACAACAGAAATGTCCAGTTTACTGGAGAAGAACAGAGGAGAACTAAACCAGCACACATGAGGAACAGACCACGTCCAAATGGTCTTCTGTATTCATTTTCACATAAACTAAAGAAAACAACGTTATCAGTGGCCAAACACGAAAGCTGCTGAGATCTCTGCTTTCACAACTCGGCTCCAGCTTAAGGGAGCATTAGCCAAGCTAGCTGATCCGAGCTATGCAGTTACCATGTTTACGGTTTTCTTCTTTTTTAATGATTCTTTTTATTAGGGTTCAAGCATGCAATGCGTTCAAGCATGCGATGCATTGAACCCTATTGTAATTGTCTAGATTTTTCTTCATATTCTTTTTCTTCCCTGAAACGGAACGCACAGCCCAAACTGTAAGTCCTAGAGACTTGAAACTTGGTCAACAGACAGTAGTCCCTCCCGCTACTCAGGCGCAAGGAATCAGCCCAGTCGGCCACAAGGGGGCACTATAGTGCAGGAAAATCAGTTTTGCCTCATAACTCCTAAACCAGATTTTTGCGTGCTAAGCCATATTTTTTTCCTGGTTCCTTGGGTCCAAACAAACAACTTTGCCATTTGGACCATTTAGTTCCGCCCACTTAGATTTTTCACAATATTGCCAAATATGCAAAACCTACTTTTGTGAACTAGTCCTACAATTTTTGCCCGATCCTCATGTTTTTGGTGTCAAAAAATTCAGAAGAGCCTGAAGGTCAATAATAATTAAGAATCAAAATAATTCAGAATTAATTTAAAATTATATAATTCGACAACCCTTCAGCCAAAAAAATTCAAACTTGACAGACACATTTGGGAGAAGATTCTGAGGTAGCCATTCGATTTTTGTGCACATATGTCATTAGGGGGCGGAGTTAATGCTACATGGCTGTTTCTCAGCATCCGAAACTTTGCAGATACCATCTGTTGGCCAGACTATAAGTGAATCCATAAGAACAAATTGATTAATTGAAGTAGATGGTCACCATCGGCCAATCAGCATTTAGCAGGCTTTTGACAGGCTTACCATTGATCCATCATTATGAAACTTGAATGATCTCTACATACAGCCACTTTCTAACAACTAATCAAGTTTGAAAAAAATTTACCACTGGGGGCGTAATCATAAAAATTAACATATTATTACATTTTATTACTATTTTATTACAAGTTTGCTTGAACATCCTTGTGTATCATATGTAGTATGTTATTCCAAACAATTTTGCAAATGCATATTTATTATAAAACTGCATAGTTTTTTTGTAATCGGTAACTGTTTAAAAAGCCTACTTTTTGAACTAGTCCCTGGATTTTGATCCAATCTTTTTGAACTTGGTCTGGAAAAATTCTTTGGCATCTGTAGATAAATAATTATCAAAAACATGTTGACTTTTCTACTCAGGGTCGTGTGGATCAATCAATTAATTACTGTGACCATGGCATTGTTAGCTTGTTTAGCTATAACTCAACAGTCATTGGACAGATCATGTCCAACCGTTAAGGACTTTTACATATTTGGACTGAAATGGTGTCTGCCAATTTTGGTCCAGAGTGGCCTTTAGGGGGCACTTTAGCACTCCAAAAAAAACCTTAAAAATCAATTAAAATGTCAATACAATGTTATTACAAGGTCGACAGATAAACAAATGGTGCCATACGACTCCGGTCACTCACATGAACAACTTTGTAATTACATGTCATGTCACAAATTGTACTGTTTGTCTGGTATTTTTGCTTATTCATTCGAAGACTACATTATACGAAGGCTTATTATACAAAGGTCAAAAGGTCAGTCTGACCAAAACTTGGTAAACATCTTTGGATATGGCCCCTGACCAAGAATCATACCATATTGTGGCCTTTTCACTAATTCTGACCCACTTTCACTGAGCTCATACTTTACTTTAGTCCTATGTTTCAACTTTTCATCTTTTTCAACTTTACTCATATTTTTGCCTGTAACTTTTGATCAGAGTGAGATAGAGACAAAATTCTTTTTTCTGATGATTCCTTGGGATGTGCTGAACAAGTGCACCCCAGTCACTTTTAGCCACACCTGCTTAGTTTTTGAGCTAATTTGCATAATGTGAAAAACCTATTCTTGCGAACTAGTCTCTGGATTTTTGGCTAATTTTCATCAAATTAGTATCTTAAGATTCAGAAGACACTGATCCTCAAGAATTATCAAAAACATTTTGACTGTTCCACTGAGTGTATTGAGAATCAATCAATTAATTACTGCAACCATGGCATTGCTAGCTTGATTTGCTATAACTCAACAGTCATTGGTCAGATCATTTCCAAACTTTAAGGATTTTTACATATTTAGACTTTAATAGTGTATGCCAAATTTGGTCCAGATTAGCCTTTAGGGGGTGCTTTAGCACTCAAAAACACTTAAAAATCAATAAAATGCTATTATAATGTTATTACAAGGTCGACATATAAACAATTGGTGCCATGTGACTCAGTTCACTCACATGAGAAACTTTCTAATTACATTTTATGTCAAAAATTGCACTGCCTGTCTTTTATTTTGGCTTATTCATTCAAAGATTTCACTATACAAAGGCTTATTATACGAAGGTCAAAAGGTCATTCTGACCAAAACTTGGTGAACCTCTTTGGATATGGTCCCTGATCAAGAATGAAACCATATTGTGGCCTTTTTACTAATTCTGACCCACTTTCACTGAGCTCCTCTACACCAATAGGACCTCTTATGAGTGCATTGGGCCTCATTATGGCCTACATCAAATCAACGGCTTAAATATAGAACCAATCCACTGTGGAAGTGCTACTATGTGAGAAATGCTGCCATTAGTCATGTAGTTTTGACATCTATGTTGACAACCTCTTGGATGTTCTACAAACCAGTGTAGATCAGTGCATATGAATATAAACCTATAATGTGTTTAAAGACCTCTGCTCGTTGTTTATGGCCTTTGATGAACTGACTTCCTTTCAGTTCTATTCACTCTGCCTATAAATAAGACCCACAGCTTGAGGCCTTTTTAGGCCTAATGGGCTAAACCTGCAGAAGGGCCCATACTGCTGTTGCATGCTTGAACCTGCTCATTGCCACTTGCGGCTATATTTAAACTTGAAATCTTTTAGTTTATTACAAGTGCCTGTCAGATACTTTAGTTAACAGGTGTTGCCCACAGGCTACAGTTTACCCGTTTAAAATACAGCCTAGTTTAGCTGCTGTTTTGGAGATAAATGGTTGTGAACAGCTGTGATACAAGAAATCTAGTCTAATACAGGTTTTTCATAAACTCTGCGCAGTGATTCTGTCGCACTGTTGGTGTTTAAACTGACAGGCCTGATCCCTCCTCACCTCCTTGCCCTACCTCTCTCTCTCTCCCTCCCTTCTTCTTCTTCTATCTCTCAGTCTCTCTTATTCTCCCTTCTCTCTTCTTCTGTCTCTCTCTCTTCCTCTCTCTGTCACTCTCTTCCTCATCCCCCTCTCTTTCTCTCTCCCCCCTCTCTTCGTCTCTCTCTATCTCTCAGCCTTGGTGTTTATCTTCAACTATGAGAGGCTGTTTAGCTGTGAACAGCATGAATTGAAGTGAATTGAAATGTTCACTAGCAGAGCAAACTGTCATCAGTCTCAGCTCTCAGAACATTTTTCCCCACATAATATCATGTTTTGCTTTAGTGTTTTTCTGTACAGATTATTTCCAGTGATGTAGCCAAGTAAGTGTACTACTTATTTACTCTTACTTGAGTAATTTTATTTACTAATACTTCTACTTGGTAAATTATCACTACAGTAAAGTACTTGTACTTAAGTAGGAGTTTTCAGTACTCTTTACACCTATGGATACAGGACAGGTATTGGCACAGAAACTAACCGTATTTAAATCCGCATTAACACTGTCTTATATGTGTTGTACAGTGTGACAGTTCTTTTATTTCTTATTTACTCATATACCTGTTCTGTGTGATTTGATGCACTTATGTGCATCATAAGTCCATGCACACACACCCAAAGCAGTGGTATCAGATCAGTATTCATTATCAAGCTGATACCTGAGCTCAGATATTGAAATCAGTATTAAGGAATACAATGATTTGCAAATCACATAGACCCATATTTTATTCACAATAGAACATAGAACACATTTCAAATGTTGAAATTGAGACATTTTACAGAGACAGGAATGTTGTTACATTCTTGTCTGATGTAGGAT